TTTTTTTTTTTTTTGGTTTTTTTTGTTTTTTTTTGTTTTTTTTTTTTTAAGGAAAAAAAAAAAAAAAAGGTACATGTCGGTATTCTCTGGTAGATTCAGCCCACTCTAGGTGGGGAAGAGTCTACTGCCTTCAATCTACCCATATTAGTAATACATTTGCATTGTAATGCCACACCTGAGGAGGTGGGTAGGTGAGGTCGCACTACCACAGGTACGTAGAACGAGATCATCAAAAGATATTGTGAGTGTAAGGTGCAATCAAAAGGGAATAAACCCTTGATTCACCAAAGGAGGTTGCTTGAGCATGATGATAGTCGCTTGTAGGGGTATGGGATGGTCTGCATCAGAGTCACTGCAATGCAGTCCCAAGGACAGCCAGTCCATGAGAATGGTCCCCCTACAACACATCACTGAGATAACAAGAGGTGAATGTTGATAGGGATTTCCAGCATGACGCTTTAGAAATGTCAGTAATAGGAATCCCCTTAACCACTTCATGCCGGGGGCTCCGGTAACGGAGCCATAGGCCTTATATTTGGGGCCGGGGACTCCGAAATCGGAACTTTACTATAAAAAAAAAAGTTGCTGGGCGTTTCTTAAAAAGTTTAGGGCTGTCAGTTAAAAAGTTTAGGCCATCATTGGCCGGTGAATTGTGACTTTTTTTATAGCCGGGGTGACTGAACTTCTTTTATAGCCGGGGTGACCAAACTTATTTTATAGCCGAACTTATCAAAGCCTTGAATAAAAGTACGAGCTCCTGAGAGCTGCTGGGCCCTGCCAATCAATGCCTGTATTCTTTCAGCGCAGAGCACTGCAATTAGCGGAGGTAATCCGTGTATTGTTTTGCAGAGCGCATTTGTTCGCGCTGCCGGGCGCTCGCAGGGGATTATCGCTGCACTGCACCGAAGACAAAGCGCGGGCTGTGTGGGCTCATTATGCACCTGAGCCCCATGAATGACCCGGCCCGGGCGCTGCTGGCCCTTGCCACGTTGACTGACAGGGCACGGCCCTCGCTGCTTGAGAATAAAAATGCCGTGCAGTGTTCACGTGCGTTCATATTGGGTATCATGTTATTTAGAGTACAGACAACATGGCTGAAGTTATATCCGGAGAGTCCAGTTCTTCCAGCGAAAGCGAGTTTTATCTGAGTTCAGACGAAGTTTCTTTGTCTTTTTCATCACCGCCGTCACCTGCTCAAGTACAGTCAAGTACAGAAATTGACAGTGATGTACCCTTGGCGGTATATGCCAAGCGCGTCGACCAGCAGCAGTGCGGCACCGTTCCGGTGGACAGATGAAGACAGTACACTGCTGAAGTACGGCTTCACCGGTAATGGTGGTGCCGTCGATCCCCACC